CCATACTGGCTGCAGGAGACAGTTGGTCGTTGCTGGAGGGGACGAGGTGCACGGTCCTTGTGGCCGCGCTAGACTCGAAGAGTAATTCCATGCACTCAGTGTGGAGCGGACTACGGTCCAGCCACCGCCTTGTGTGCGGTTGATTCCCCAACTACAGCGTGCTTGTGTTTGCCTGTGAATGAGTGTGGGCCGGCTCCATTGATGAAACGTGGCTCCCATCTGCATGCCTCCCGGTTTTATTCCTTCAGGTTTTAACTGAATATTGGGTGTGTGCTTGGAGCCGTCTGTGTTGTAGTGGAATCATCTCATGGTCTCTCTGTAGGCGCCGGTGTCCTGTGACTGGCCACAGTTACAGACTAATCCGGAACCGGATGCCGCCAACCATCTTTGAGGTAGTAAGAAATATGTAAAGCGGTCGGGACCTCATTCTCATAGCTCATCTTCAGACGAGCTAAGGCAAAGAAATTCAGAGATAGTTGTATTAAGAAAGCTGCATATGGATGTGCGAAATGTTGCAACAGTTGTGTTCAATCTGTTTGCCGTAGGTAGCTTATTCCATACGAACACATATCCTTAAGGGAGGAAACTGGATAGATTGCTAGTGCGAGCTTTCTGTATGATAATAGAGTACGGTCTGCTTCGTAATCAGTACCGCTCATCTGTGTTCTGTCTAACAACGAAATCGGTATGCACATTTGTGTTGTACAGCATCTGGAATAGATACACAAGGTTATGGTCGAGCGTGCGAAACCACAATGGATTCAGCTGGAGCTATTATCATCTACTATTATAGGTAAGTATGGATACTTTCAGTGAAGGCTTAGTGATCGAGCGTTGCACTCTCTTCGCTGCTATTCTGTCGTATTTACACATTGTTGAACACAAAACAGCAGTATACCAGAATCAGACGAACACAGGATCTATACAAGACCATTCATTCTCCACCGCCATCTTTTTCTTCCCTGACCTTGAGTGAAATTAATGTACCAACAATATTAGCGACTGGATGCAGGAATGCTACTAATTTCGCGTCCGATAGGCTCCCAAAGACAACACGTACTAGCCTAACCAAGTATCTGGGTTACTTTATCCATACACTGGACACTTCCTGGCTTCATCCAACTGGGTGCAGCCATAGGGTATGATGCACGTCGAGGAAGACGGATAATGAGCATTGAGAAGACATTGCCTAATAAACGTAAGTGGCCCAACTTAAACAGACTTCAGTGGGTTTCTTGCCCAACACTAAGTAGTGGACGTCGACGTTGGTCACACGGTGTACTGTGAGGAATACTCCGCGGGCACCGGTCAGCGAAGATGAGCGATCTATTCAACACGAATTGGCCATATTTCTGGTCATTATAGGGACATGGATTATGTGGTAGCATCGTACGCCGTACGTTTTACTGGCAGATCGATCTTCTGCTGTCGCCATATTTTACTCAACCTCTACAATGCTACTGAGACTCTCTGGTACTTGAAATCACTTCCCTAGACTGTTCACTGTTACCCAGCCGAGTAGACTAGCATGTTTATTGGCTAGAAGCATCTACTCGGCATCAGCAGGGACGCGAGGGGTGTATTCATTACCGATTAATTCAGAACCGGGTTCGAACATTTGTTACGATGCTTTTCCTTTTTACGCGTGTTTCGGAGGCATCATTTCTGAGAGCGGGAAGTACGTTGGCACTGTCCGTTGAGCGATATGACCCACCGTGCTGGCGTTGAACGAACCGATGTGAGATGGAACGCTGGGTTTGAAGAGCCAGTTACATGCGTCGGTAGAAACTGTTGCGAGAACAGCGACAGTATCTTGCCCGGCAGACGAGGAAGGTAATTGAAATGGACGAAAAAGGCACGAAGACGGAACAGCATTAGTGAGGGTGTCTATGGAGCGGATAGTATTCACCTGCTGCCCATTCCGAGATAGTTTTCTTTGTCCTGCCTGGCGTGTTACCCTCCGGGAAGCAAGAAGACTGGGCCGCGATCGCGAAGTCGTTTATTAAGTTTACGCTCGAATATTTCTAGACCATATACACTATTTACAACGGTCCGTTTCAATGGCTCATCCCTGTTATTTGCATTGTGTCGCTGGCTCCTTTTCCATTGGTTTATGCATGCTCGCCACGTTCACTCTGTCTAAAATCACCTTGACTTTTTTGGTGGATGTACGATTGGCGGGATTGGGCCCGCGCGCTTCTTCCCTCGGTCCAATGCCACAAGCCTTGGCTCAAGGGTGCACGCGTATGCGCTGCTGGCGCCTGGTTGGTCACTTGCACGTTCAGTGGATGGTTGCAGGCTGGACACGACCACGGGCCAACTATTTCCTGTTTGGTTGACCAATCTGCTTCCGGCAACATACCCACTCCCTATTGGTCTGGCTTGTGCCGTTCGATCGGCATTACAGACTTTCCAGCCCCATCACTGCGTTATCTGTAGTCTTTGACTGTCTAGTCTGACCCACAACGCATTGGGGCGCCGTTTACTCTCAGTCGCGCAGTCCCGTAGCCTAAAGGATCACAGGTCTGCCTTGTAATCTGAGAGTACGGGTTCGAATCTAAGTAGGGACCGGGCGACCATCGTAGCATCCTTAGCCCACGCGCGACTGCTGGTAATTGCCCGTCCGCAAAGCCTCGGTACTACGTACCGGAGTACTGCTGATGGTTTTACCCTTAGACGCCTACTTTTTAGGTATGTCGCATTTGGACATGACTCAACTTGGTAAACCATTGTTTTCCATTCCTTCTCGACACATGTCCTGATCCCACTGCTCTCATATGCCTTCCGGCACGTACACTTTGTGCACCTTTCCGTCTGATACGGGAAACGGGCAGCAGAAGACCTGATGTTAGTGAAACTATACGCGACGAGAGTGGACAGCCAATGCACAACTTGTCAAAACGCTTGGAGCATTGGGCTGAGCACTTTGAAACGCAGTTTAACCGGTCGGAATTGTTAGATTTCTCGCCGGCCACTGATCACCCCAATCCCTGGGCTATCCCTTTGGATCCGCCCTCTCGTTCAGAAGTCGAACGTGAGATCGGATTCTTGAAGTTAAATAAAGTTTGCAGGACCAGATGATCTTCCTCCAGCCCTCTCCAAATTCGGGGGACCTGCTCTTATGGATGATATACACGAGTTACTAGTCAAACTGTGGGAGCAGGAAACTGTCCCAACCTACTGGAGCCGCTCCGTCATAGTTCCAATTTTCAAATTGGGCTCACGATCGGAATGCGGCTACCATAGAGGAATCAGTCTGATCTCCATCGCCTCCACATTGCTTGCCTCTGTCATCCTTCACAGACTAATTGGCACTTGTGAAAGCCGTATTCGTGAAGCGCAAGCCGGGTTTCGTCGAGGTCGTGGCTGCATTAACCACATCTTCACTTCGCGTCCGTTATTTGAGCACCGTCACATATATTGGCGGCCCACCGTTATCGTGTTTATCGATATCAAAGGTGCATTCGATTCTGTGGTTAGACATGCACTTTGGGATTGTCTACTTAAGAAAGGTGTACCTGAGAAATATGTGAATATTATCCGAGCATTATATGCGCGTAGCTCGGGCAGAGTGAGTGCTTACGGCAAGTTGTCGTCGTCCTTTAATATCTCCAGCGGTGTGAGACAAGGATGCCCGCTGTCACCCTTCCTCTTCAATTTCGCTGCTGACGAAGTCATGGAAATCGCGTTCACAGGACACGACTAAGGTGTGGATCTGCTCCCAGGAGAACGACTTCTTGACTTGGACTATGCAGATGATATTGCCCTCATCTGTGACAGCTCCCAGACGTGCCAAGCGGCACTGGCTGTCCGTCACTTCGGGCTTTGCTTCGCACCCTCGAAGTGCAAAGCGTTCCTCCAAGCTTGGCCTGGACCGCCTCCTTCGCTGACCCTTGGTGGTGAGCAACTAGAAATCGTTCAAAAATTCAACTACCTGGGAAGTTGTATCAGCGCCCCTGGGATCGAAGATGAGATCATGCACCGTATAGCAAAAGCTCGAGGCGCTTTTTTTAACCTTCATTACTTATGGCGCCGGTGCGACATCACTCTCTCCCTGAAGGGTAGAGTGTACAATGCAGCAGTACGTTCAGCGTTACTGTGCGGTTGTGAAACCTGGTCCCTTAGATCAACGGACATAAGAGGCTATTTACCTTCGACCACCGGTGCCTTCACAATTTAGCTCACATCTGGTGGGAACACCGCGTGCGCAACGAGCGTGTTCGACGCCTTGTTTACGGCACAGGAAAAGGAAATGAACCGTTCAGCACGGTTATTTCACGCACGAGGCTCCGATGTTTCGGTCACGTGTTACGCATGCCAGCCCACCGACTCTAGCGACGTGCGTTGTTTGCGCGTCTGGGGTGTGAGTGGAAGAAGAGGAGAGGTGGCCAAACGATGACTTGGTCGAGAGGAATGAAGGCCTTCACTTCGAAGCTGGCTTCGGTTGGAGCTTCTCAGCTCCCTAGTTGGGGTCCGAAAGACGATGAACACGTTTGGCTGGATGCACTTGCTGATATGGCCTGGAGCAGACCTCAGTGGCATTCGTGTTGTGCGTTTCTTTGTCCCACCCCACCCCCTCCAACCGCGATCTCATTATTTAGCATTTTATAACTTTGCATAGTAAATTATTTTTTCTGTTACATAGTAGCCGGCAGATAGCTTACCGGAACGATACCCATCCGTTACCGGTAGCTCAGCTGGCTTGCACCTTTTATATTTTATTCCCCCTTTTTTTCTTTTATATATGTCGGCACAGTAGCTGAGGTGGTTCCCACCTCTATCTAATGTGTATAGTGAGTGTGTGTGCTTTGTGCTCCTGTTAGTTAACTGTGATCTGGGCATTGAAATACCGTGGACCACTTTATCTTGTTTTTTCCTTAAAATGCTGTTGCTCCTTTCACTAGCTGTCCCTCAGTGTATCTCGCTATCATTTGTTGCATCCTCTCATCTTTCGGACGATTAACCTACTACTTACTGTTCGTTTCCGTTTTCCCTTTTAGGTCCATCCACACTTCTTCATGGGCATTTTGAGTATTCTGCGCAGCGTTGGACACGATGATCCCTGCCACCCCGAGTCTCCACTTGTGTTCCTTCGCGTAGCGTCAACCATCGCTTATGCTGACGGGATTGGCAGCGACTCATATGTTCTGATGACCGGAAAGCGAGCATAGAAAAAGTGAAATGAATGCGTTGGTCTGTGTGCTGCACTACTCCTCCCTTTCTTTTTACGCCACTTCCTCTTTGTCTCAATGCTTCCGCTCACTTCCCTGGTTCCCCCACCTTTTTGCTCGTTTTTGTGTGTGCGTGTGTGTTGTATCGATATTTCCTAATGTTGCTTCTTCGAGCCCCCCTCTTCCGTACTTGTGTTCCTCCGTCTTTTTACGGACAATTTTCCCATGTTCACAATTATTTGTTCCAATTTGGGAGGGTACTTTTTCAACGACGTCCACTCGCGGTTGTTATTCGTGTGTATGAGCGCTTTTCATTTTCATCGTTTTTACTCCGATCTTTTTATCTGCTTCACATTCCCTCCTTTTCGTTTTTACTCACCTCCATTCGTTTCTCTTCCTTTTTGGGGTGTTAGGGGGACGGGAACACTTTGTAGACTGAAATCTATGTAGACTGGGGTCTCTTCATATCTTTAAGAAAATTTTCACAGGGAGTTCGACAGTTTATCGTCGCTAATGATTTCAGGTACATGTAGGTTGAGATTCATAGGTAGGGAAATCATACACTATTAGTGGGCTACGTTTAAGGGGTTTCTATGGGGTTCAGCTTAAACTCCCAACCTTTTTATTGGTTCGGAGTGTACTAGGGTCAACCATATTGACAGGATTTTTCTTTACTTCTAACAAGCTACTTTTCATTATTTGATTAAGATACCACTTTATGTTCCTCCCTTTTGGTTCCTTTCGTCTGCCGCCTCATATGACACACGCCGTCTTTCTGATCTACACGGCTGGTTACCGCTTGACCATCGTCTCTATTACTGCTATCCCTCCCTCTGTTTTTGTGATTATATAAAGAGTTATGTACACCCGCTTCGTGAAGCTGCAATCGTGTAACTTCAAAGAGGACGCCTCATATTTTGTTTTGTCGCTTCTCGCGCTTTTTCCATTTCGACTTTTTCCCTTGTGTTTCAAACTGTTTATACTCATATAAGATGCTGTGTAACGTTTTTTTGCTTTTATCTAAATATCACCCTGTTCATCAGGCGTCTTTTATCTTTTGGGCATTTTCGAACACCAGGCGTCATTTCCCCATTGATACTGTTTTTCATGCTCTCAACCGATCCGGTCCTTCTGCCTAAATACCACGTAACCTTTATTCAAGTAATTCTATGGTGCATCTTTTGTTTTTCTTACTTTCCTCCTCAACCGGTTCTCACGTCCCTGCTCTCTTCTGTGGTTTGATCATTTTGCTTTGTTCACTGTTAGCATCTGTTTGCTTTTCACTCCCACCTCATCTCTCGCACACTGTCAGTTCAGGTATACGCAAAGCTCGCGCATTCGGCTGAAGTACTGACATCGCATTTGACTTTCCAGATGTCACAGATCGTCAGTACATTCGGGCTATGCTTAAATGAGAATCACCTTATGTTGTTGCATGCCTCTTGCGTATCGTCACGGAGTAAGCGTACACTCTTACGGTGTGCATTGCTTCCGGAGTCTCTGAGCCTTGTCGTGACCTGTGGTATTATCATGCGGATTCACCGACTCATGGCTGGCGTGCGCGTCGATAACATGCACTCGTGATTCCCGTTCCTATGCATGCTGGCGCTGTTTTTGTGGCAAGTGTAGAGTGAGGGAATCGTGGGTGGTGCACATGCATCACTCATTATTACTCCGTGGGTGTAAACACAGTGCTGCTTTTCGCAGTTTTGTTGGCGCACAAATCCTTTGATAGTTCCTATCAACCCTTATCTTCATTTAGATTCGCACAGCACTGCTGAATGTGCTCAGCCACCTAATTCTTCTAAGTCCTAACCTCATAGACACCACTTCGTGATAACGGAGCCTTATCCATTTCCCGTACAGCAACTTGGGGTCATGTAACGCCGACACCGCTAAAGACGTGGAGAGTTACATCATCATCATTCGGTGACTGGATTTTGCTCGCTTTCCTTGCTGGACACTTGGAAAATCACCGTGTCGGACTCATTAGGCGGCGCTTGTTGCTTTTGTTCCCATTCCATTGTTGCTGTTGCATTCCCAATGGTATCGCTTGCCACGACCCGCGTTCCTTTCGTGGCATCAGCATTTTGATGAGCACCTCAGGCTGATTCATCTGCGTACTTGCCTATCTGTGTTCGAGCATCTTGTACAATATCACTATTTTCTGGCTGGTATCTGACTCGAATTCATTCATCAGAACTTACATGGCATTCAAGTTGTGTGCATGAAACCATTAATTTTACATTCCCGGCTGCGTGTGCTTCCTCATTCTCTGGGCCTTTCTAGCGACTAAAACATTGCCGTTGAGCTGTATGTAGGAACAGTCCCAAAGTATTCAAAGCACAGGGTGGACCCAAAATCTGCGGTGCTGTTTACAACACGTTAGTTGCGCACACGAACATACCTCATTTGTGTTTGCGCTGTTATGTCGACGATAAATAGTGCACAAAAGACCAAAACACATAATTGTTAACGTTGCTAGTCGTCCCTTCGGACGGAGTTGAACGGACAGACTTAGAATCTGGCAGTCGATGATTAAACGGACACTCAAGCGACTGTTTGGGGAGTTGCAATACAACCTACGACCTATGTACTAAGTGGTCACGTGTTCTAGGGCTAGGCGTGATGCGCATCTGTGTAGGTCAGGGATGTCCAAAGTCCGGCCCGCGGGCCAAGTGCGGCCCGCATTCACATTTCAACTGGCCCGCAGCCTCATCATCAAATAATAAATTCAAGCTTGGATTTTTTTGTACATGTGTAATTTTTGTTATTATCTTAATGTCATACTGAATATGGCCCGGCATATTTTTACTTCCCAAAATGTGGCCCTCCTTTCAAAACGTTTGGACACCCCTAGTGTAAGTGGACGGCTGGATAGGGGTTACAATAAAATGGCCAACGACATCATGATACGGTGTGGTGAACCGTGACTCAGTAGATCAGGTAAACTCACAAAACATAAGCACGGAAACAGACGGAACACTGGATAACCAAGCACATTTACGCAGGGAGAAAACACCGTAGTGTCAAACGACTGAGTACCCTTAAAGTACGAAGTGATTGTGGGTTAGAGGAGTATCACAGAGTTTTTCTACAATCCCCTCAACCCAAGCCACTGTGAAGCGCTTATCTGAATCCGAATGCAGCACTCTTTTAAGTTCCGATATAACCTACCTGTCCATGTACACTGTATCACGTCGCTTACTCTTGTCATAGTCATATGTGCACTCACTCAGACAGTTCTCGATTTTTGGACCATGTGCTTTATTCATTGTCCACTTTTTACATATCTATAAAGCTCCTTTACTTACTATGAGTTAGCCCCGTTCTGTCATTTGTTCGTACTTTCCAACCTGGTAAATCTAACCTATCTCGGTCCCAATTGACTGACTACTACCCACTAAACTGCATGATAGTAAGTCCTTACTTCGCTCTCGCCCTTTTGTCTGACCGCTAATTCGAGCTTTAAGGTTACTGCGTTCCTGAAGGTGGTCTAACTTCCTCTGTGCATTTACAGTACGACACTTCAATCGAGCATTTCTTAACCGTCCCACGCAAACAACTTCAGCACTTCGCGAAACCTGGCACTAGGTTTATATTCGGCTTTATTGGTCGTTCCCAAATTTTTCCATATGACAACATATCTAGCACCAGCTTTGTGCTTTTATTCTGTTTCTTCTCAGTTCAGTTGTCGAATCACGACCCTTTCATCAAAGTGCAGCATATCCAATTTCTTGATTTCTTTCGCTAAGTAGGGCATCAGCAGCATGCCGGTATGCAGTACCGACGCTTCGCTGCCGTTCAATCACCAGCAGTAGCACGTGCACTAAGGATACTGCGACGGTCGCCCGGACTTTACGCAAGCTCGAACCCACACCCTCGGATTACGAGGCAAACTTGTGATCCTTAAGGCTACGGACCGGCTAAGTATCAAAGATGCCTTCAAGGTTATTATGCCGTACCGAGGCGATATGCGTAAGGGTTAAGGAAGCGCCTCTTGCAGACGGCTGAAGCCATCGCGATCCGGCTAACACAACCAGAGCTATGTAAACATAGGGTACTTGTGCAACTCTTGACTTTGCCATGGCTCTGGTGATAAGTCTTCCCCCGGAGTATTACGCATAACCGGGTGCTATTTATTTACATAATTATCTGTTTTCTATGTTTTAGTATTTTTTACCTCTTCTATTTACACAAGTTGTTTCGCTGTCTGTTAGCACCATCACGATGTCACCTGATTAAATCGATTTGGGTATCGAACGAACATGCTAAATCTGTTCAAACCGTCCCATCTGTCCACGTTTTCGCCTTCGCCAGTTTACTGTTGCATTTAGCAGTCCTGTAACTGTATTTGCCTGATGTGATTTACCGAAAAGAGATTTCTTTGCAACGCTGTGTTTTACTTTTCCATGGCTTTTATGTACAAGTATCAATGATTTAGTATAGCGAACAAGCAACTAAACCCGTTAAATATGGTAGCGCGTGACAAATAGGGGAACGATTACAGAAGCACCTAACTTCTTAACAGCGCCATTCCTTCTGTTATCATTCTCACCATACTACACTTTAAGTTCCGGTGAGAAAAACTTCAGCGACTGTGCCGCAATTCAATGCAGTAAGATATTCAGAAAAAGTAGTGCGAAATAATTAGTTCAAAATCCAGATAAGTAATAGTATGCATCGACAGTGAGATCGTATTTGGAGGAGGAGGCTGATTGGAATTGGGAAGGAAAAAGGAACTGATACAAAAAACATCTATGAGGTCGATTCTCCGCTATGTCAACAAGTATATTTAGCCAGGCGTATTCATCGTCCTTGGGATCTCAGCCCAGCAGTCGGTAGGCAGCAACCGAGGTA